GCGGGCTGCACCGGGCGGCGCGGGACGCTTCCTCTCCTGCTCTCCCCGCCCCGCGCCGTCGCCGCCTCCTGGGAAAAAGAAAAAGAGGAGTCGGGCGGCAGTTGCTGGAGTCGCCGCCACGCCGCCTCCCGCGCCGGTCCCTCCCCAGTGCTCGCCAAGTCCGGACGCGGCGGCGGCCGCCAGCCCAGCGCGGAAGCTCTGCGCATGCTCGGCCGCCGCCGCCGGGTTGGGTCCTAGTGGGTGTTTCCGTCCCTCTCGGCCCGAAGGGACCCCTCACTTCTGCGAGAAAGGTCCCGAAAGGGAGAAATCCTACAAACTTCGGCGAAGTTCGCTCACCAAACCCCTGGAAAATGGTGGTGTCGGAGGAGGGGCGGCTGCTAATAGGCGTAGGGAAACAGCTTTTATTATATGAAAATATTTGTGTTTGGGAAGGGGGGTAGATGGGTGGCCCAACCCAATTCCTGCAATGAGAAACTAGTTTCCACAACCTTTATGGGGCCACCTCCTGGGAGCTGTCATTAACATGGTGCCCTGTGAGCCTTATTGATTTGTTACAGGTTCCTGATGTTAAAAAAAACTTTCCCTCTTCCACACTGCCCTAATAGTACTTACGGAAACAGCAGAGGAAACCTGTCCAGTCTAACATGCAGAATGAGAAGGAAGAATATTTTTTAACTCTTTCACAAGAAATCCAACATTTCCAAAAGTGTCTCCAGATAAGGTTGTTTTAACTAGTGATTTATCTTGAACTGTGTACATAGTAGTGAGTCTTTGGAAAACTGCATTTTTTTTTCAAAAATAGAAATTCACCAAGTGTCAAAGCAACAATAGGTGACCATCCTTCCAAACAGATCTTCCTTCTCCTTTAGAAGTCAGATTTCACACTTAAAAATGAAAATCACTGGATCGTATTTGCCACATAAAATTTTGATGTCTTAATGCCTCAAAATAACATACATTTCTGTAAGTATTTTGTGCATATCGTGTGGCAAATAAAACTTTACCGACAGATATGGATTGGTTGAAACACAAGCTGTACATTTTCTTGCAGGAAAAAAAAATATTACAGTTCTATGTTCCTCATGATCTGAGTAGTGTAGGTTGCTATATGACCGTGGTGATGATGAGATAGTCTCGTTCGTGTAAAACTAAGGTGAAGTCCAGCAGACAACATGGGTGGCCAGGGTTAGGCTAGGAACATACTGTGGTGGATGGACAACTGGTGGTCAACTTGTAACCCCCAGCTGAACTGAGTCAGCCTTGTGCTGGGTGTGGGAGGCCCACCTGGGGATTGTTGCCAGCAGCATAAGAGGCAGAACTGGAGAAGTTAGGCTGTGGGGAGCTGGTAGAAACTGTTGGGAGCTTGGAAGCAGAAGCTGTAAGGACCTGCTGGTTTTGTTGGAGGAGCTTGTCACACTGGCTTTCCTGATGAACTGGGCTGTTTTGATCCTTCGAGGAGCTCGGGACCTTGTCACTGAGAATGGCTTAGGTTCACTTTGGGGGAGCTCTGGTCCTCTGAATGTCCTTTCCTGGCTCTGGAGGGGAAGATGGTGCACTGCTCAGTCTCCTGGAGACCCTTGTTACGTTGGCTTTTGATGGGCAATCGGCTGTCTTGATCATCAGAGGAGCTTGGGACCTCACTGTTGCTGAGGATGGCTCTGGTGCCTTTCAGGGGAGCTCTGGTTCTTATTCTGTGCATCCCTTCCTGGCTCCAGTGCAGATCCCTGAGTGCTAGCACAGATCCTTCATCCCGCTGGCTTAGACTTTCTAATTTCCACCACTGACCTTTTGGCCTTCCCAGTGTGAAACAAGCCTTCATGAGACGTTGTTGTGGGCTCTGGGCCTCCAGTTGGACTTGTGGGAGGCACTGTTATGGGCTCTAGGTCTTCAGCTGGACTCATGCGGGACATTATTTCGGGATCCAGGCCTTCAGCTGGATTCTTGGTCTATAGTGTGTGGAGAGATTTCCTGCACTCTCTTGTATATGATTCTTTGGGAGACTATGATAAATAATCTTATAAAATACATGTCCTATATTATATTGTTCCCCTTACAAAATAAGCGCCAAGCCATGACACATACTGTAAGCAGTCACTAAATGTAATGTGTGAGACCATAAGCCCAGAAGAGCATAATGCAGTATAGCCATCTGCAAAACACCAAGAAACATGTCCAGTCACACAGCAGGTGACTCCCACTGTGGGAACGGTACAGTTGAAGTAATGGAGAAAAACAAAACAAAACAGCAGTCTTTTCTGTCCTTTGGTTTGTGCTCACGTTAGGGTGTAGGCCTGCTTTAAGCAGCTGACTGGAGCAAACCACCCTCAGAGGGTAGTCCTATACACACTGGTTGTGACTGCTGCCATTAAGACAGAAAGAGTGCCGTAATTCCCACATGTAGGAGCAGAGACCTCTCTGTCTCTGGGAGATGAGTAAGTGCCTTTTCCTTAACCCATAAACCTTTTAGGGTCAGGTGCCCTTGAATAAAGGAAATTTACAGGGCATGATTTAGAATTATATTTGCCCCTTTCTTCCTCACAGATAGGGAACATGGAACCTAGAACAGTTAAAGCAGTTGCTTAACATCACAACGTCAATCAAATCAGAGTCCAAACAAGAATCTAGAAACAATAGACTATTCAGTGGTTCTCAGAATTCTGTGTATTAGAGTCTGGAGAGCTTTGAAAAAAAACCCTGCAAGGTTCTAGTGACCCTATATCTCTGAACCATAATCTTTGCAGGTGTGGCCAGCATACAGTTTTCAAACTCCCAAGGTAGTTCCAGGCTGCAGCAGATTGAAAATCCGCTGCAGGCTGGGTGTGGTGGAGCTTGTAATCCTGTAATCCCAGCACTCAGGAGGCTGAGGCAGGAGGATCACTGTGAGTTCGAGGCCTGCCTGGGCTACAAAGTGAGTTCAAGGCCAAAAACTGCATAGTAAAACCCTGTCTCGAAAAGGCAAAAAAAAGAAAGAAAGAAAAGAAAATCCACTGCAACTTGGACTTTACAGATGCCTGAACGTTAGTTAAAGAATCTCTTCAGGTTTAGCTGGATCAAATCTCTCACTTGGAAGATAATAAATTGAAAGTCCTATCCCCACTTTGCAAGTCAGGAAGAAAACAGCTGTAGTTACTGCTCTAATGGTCTCTATAATGATCATCAGTTTGCAGATCAGTATCTAAACAGATAAGACATCACCACATTTGCGGTGTGGTGATACAGAGAAGTTTTGAGGGCTTAAACTTGCCTGTACTGGCCTTTCACTTTTATCCCTCCTCTGTAACACCTCCCTGTGCACTCCCAGCCTGAGCAAGCTCTCTCCTATGTGACAGCTCTGCAACTACTCTAGGGCAGCTGCAGTCCCCCGCTCCAGTTCTTCCCTTCTCAGGATCATAAAACTTGACATCACAGCTGTCATGCTGTGGGCTCTATATTTTTCTCCGTGAGAACTGCTTTATGTGCACAGAAAAAGTGTAGAGTTTGCAATGTTGGCACCCCAGTCATTTGACTGTGATACAAAGCTGTAGGAAGATTGTACGATCTGGTCGTTGTCCCAGGACTGGAAACCATCCTAAGGCAATGTGTGCTTCACCATTTGTGTTGAGGCACTTAGTACATCTCATGCTAAGGATGCTGAATTGAGATAAGTCCCTGCCATCTGAGAAAAGGCACAACTGGATTTTTCTTCTGTTTATGTAATGATAAGAAAATGATAATAATAGGATAATATAATAATAGGACAAGCATTCAGAGCAATCTCTTTGGTGTCAGTGGTAAAGCTCAGCTATTCGGTAAGGAAATGATGCAAGCTCCTCACTCCACGAGTCCCCTCGTTTGTACATCTCTTACTGCGCTCATTCTGCCTAGGTTATGAGAGGAAAGGCGTTTGGTTACATGAATGAATATCCTCTGATTAGCACAAAACCCCATGTAGGTATGTTTAAGTTCTTTGCATCATCACCAGAGAGAAAACTGACAGGTTTCATACGAGCTCTATGTGCCTAACAATGGAACTTATTAATTCCTCAGACCACATAGTGAAATACTGAGACTCAGGTGACTTCTCCAGGCCCACACTGGTAGTATGTAAAGAAGCCCCATTTCTGACTAAGATCTGTTTAACTCTTGCCACTGTTAAACTGTATTACAATGACATTTCAAATCTGGATGGGGATTTATTAATAAACAAAAAAACAGAAAAAATACTCTGGCAATTTTTACTGGATCTCAATAGGAAGTTGGACAGCCGATTATGATGGCAGGTACTTATAATCCCAGTAATCTGGGGGGCTGAGGCAGGAGGATCACAAGTTTGAGCCCAGTTTAAGCAACTTAATGAGAAAATTCTTTCATTGCTGAGTTAAATAGATTTCATCTTATTGTTAAGTTTAGAGCTGCTAGATGAAATACAAGACTTCCAGTTAGTTTTAAATTTTAAATAACAAGAAATAATTTTTTGGTATATTATGTCCTGAATATTGCATAAGAGAAATATCACACTGGACGTTCATAAACTAAAACATTATTTAACATCTATCTGAAATTCAAATTTAACTGCACAGCCTGCATTTTTTGAGATAAATATTACCATTACCATCCTATGCAAACTAGAAAACTCTATTCAAAACACCACAACACTACATATACTCCTTCATATACATCCAGAAATAGCAGTTCATCCACTCAGTAATGATACCAAAGAATCAGTTCTTTTCTCTCCTTGCTTTTTCTGATATACATAATGTGTCATCCCATTGCCTTCAATTATCTTCTCTCATGGCATAAAATGGCTGTGCAAATCCAGACATCACATTCACAATACCATTATTTGTAGAGGATTAAAAAAAAAACTAAAAAAGGATTAAAAAAAAAAGTTCCTCCCATGCATCTCTCCTAGAATCAAGGGAACCTCTTCAAGGAGGTTTTAGCAGGTTACCCTGTTTGATTCATTGGCTAGAACCCTATCACATGCCCATGTCTGAATCAATCATCGGCAAAAAGTATAATACCACCTTGACTGGTGTTACACAAATCAATTGATATGGTCCCTATGTCTGGGGCAGGTTCTCTGAAGCTTAGAGATCAGGACACATTTCACCAGGATCATTGGTATAGATGATCCAGTCCTAATCAGTAAATTGCTGTCAAATTTTTACTATAAATCAGACCTATGATAGGATATGATCAAATGTTTAGCACTATTTGGCTCTAAAACAATTTCTAA